ATTTTTATTAGCTTCAAATCTAAATTTCTTTTATTTATTTACACTATTGTCATACAAATATTCTATAAAAAATATCACTAAAAATATCATGTAATAATATCATAATTAAAACATGTAAAGATTAAGCAAAAATAATCATACAAAAATATTATAATAATATCAAACAAAAATATCATAATAAATCATGCAAATAAATATAATAAAAATATGCAAGTAATCATACAAAAATATCATGCAAATAAATATAATAAATCTTCCTTTTTTTTCTTTTTCTTTTTCTCACCACTGTTAATTCAATCACAATTTAAAAAAATACTAAGAAAAAATAAGAAAAAATAAAATAATAAATCAAAATAAAAATAAAAAAAATCATAAAATAAAAAAAAAACTTACGACCGAGTAAGGTTAAGAAGAAAGTTTAGATGCAGGTCGAGCCTCATCCAAACAATGTTGTTTGCTCTCAATGTTTAAGCCAAAAAACCAAAGCCTTCAAAATTTTCTTTTCCTTTCTCTCTCCAATCCAAAAACTTATCTATTGAAACTCAAAGCTTTATGTTACTTTATAATTCTAATTGTCTCAATTGCATCTTGCTTTTTTTATTCTTAGTGATTTTTTATTGAGAATTAGGCTTTTTATATATGGATTGAATCTCTTTTTAATTTGAAAGATTTTAATGTCAACTGAATTTATTAAAATTTTGTCAAAATTTATTTTTCTTCTATGTAAAAACTTAATTATCAAGGATTATCAAAATCAAACTTAATTTTTAAATTTCAAATCTAAATAAAATTATAATCTTAAAAAAAAATCAAAATTTGTATTTTTTTACTAAATAAAAAAATAAATAAAAATAATACTTTTGAACTTTTAAATTTAAATTTAAAAATAACTTTTAAAACTCAATATTAAAATGTAATTCGAAATCTAATAATATAAAAAATTTTAAACAAAATTAAATATCTACAATTACTTTAGCTAAGATCCATTCATAATACTTATTCGTTTCTAAATTCTAGGAGACGAACTTTCGTTATCTTAACAAATTCGAAATTTAATTTAATTTTAGTTTTGGTGTACAAGGATCTTCTTAATTTTAGATAGACTTTTAAATTATTCGACTTAGTTGATTCGATGAGGCGGCTGAGAATATTCATTGAATCATACGATACAAGTCACATCAAGCACCGTCGTTTTTCATCTCTTTGTGCTTGTTTGATTCGATAGATATTTGAATAGGGCTTTGACGAAAATTGTCCTGAGATTGTAAGAATATAATAATGCAGTGGATTAGTAAGATTCTTAATCATTATTGTAACTAGAAATATAGATAAAAAGATTGAGACTATCTATGATTTAATAATTGCCGTCTTTCATACGATACGTCCATTTTAAGAGACATCACTGCTTATGTCACTTCTTTTTTTCCTTTTATCAAAATGCAATGGAATGAAAACGACAGAAAATACTAGTACTGATCGGTCCTGTTTTTCAAAAGGGAAAGCTCTTTTAAATCTCGAAAGGGACAGAAAAATATATGTGGATGCTAGTTTTTTGTATTGTTTTGGATAAGACCGAGACTTTTTTTGTTGTTGTCGTCGAGTAATGAATTTGCTTAAAGGTTTCAGGCTTAACAATTTGATATTATATATATATATATAATAGATATATTATGTGAGAATAATTAATTATTATTTCCTTCTAAATTAAAGTGAACTGACCTCTTTGTTAAATTTTAAAATTGAGTATTTAATTTAAAAGTACTTAATTATAAATAGAGATCTTTATTATATTTAAGTGTTTATGATAATATTATCAATTTAATAATAAACATATTTAATTAGTTTTCATTTTAATACTTCTCCTCACTCGTGGGGGCAATGAACTTAGTACATAACATATACTTTACGAAAAAAAATAATAAATCAATCTTGTGTGTAATTAACTTTATGCCGAGTATCAACTTTGGTTTGCAAGTTAAATTTTTTAAGGGAGATGGTAATGCATATTCCGAGAGTTAGAAGGAACTGTCATCATCAAAGAGCGACCAATAAGAAATTGGCAACGTTTTCAACCAAACGACTCCCTCCAAAGCATATATAGGCCGGATAACATTTTTTTTAAAATTCATATATTTAAAAATAATTTATGTTAATATTTTAATATATATTTAGAGTAAAATTCGAGTTAAATTTTGATTTAAAATTCTTTATTCCAAGTTAAGTCAGATGAATAATCCGACTTTGGCTATAGATCTATTTTATATTGTTAGGCAAAAAGTCTCTAATTAATTAAATCAGCGAAAACAAAATTAAACGATTAATTAATCACATAAAAGATAAAAATTTAACGTAATTGTATTCAACCGATATACTTCACAAATGAAAAAAAATCTATTAATTATAGATAATTATATCAAATATCAAAATAATTACTCAATAATTAATACATATAGACCCTCTCAATTTTTCTTTTAATTCTATAGAGTATTCTCAATCCAAATAAACACATACTTATATGTACTCATACATCATATATATATAGACCCTATCAATATTCTTTAGTCCATTCATAAACATACAAATATAATACACATATTTATGTGGACTCTCTCAATCTCTTCTCATTCACTCACAAACATATAAATATACACATCCATAAAATGTAAATCTCCAGTAATCCTATAAGATGTTTATCTCATAAAATCTTATAAATCTTTTACATATTTTTTTTATACCTAACTCTATAGAGACTTCACATATTTATAAATATACAAATTTACATATTAAGAATCTATTTTCAATTAGAATTCTTATTTTACAAATCTTCTTATTTATCAAGTAATAATTAATCAATTTAAAATAAATCTGTTATATGATTTAAGTCACTATTCTAACACATATAAATATATCTTATTGTTTCAACTAAATCTATCATAAAATTTGGCATTATGTCACATCGATAAATTACTAATTACAATATTCTATCGCAAGATCTTGCCACAATCTTACCAAGTGAATTGTTAATTTTTGCGCATAGAAAATTTTTCCCTCAAATGAGGACATGTTAGTGGCGGCTAGAATACAATAATAACATCCGTGGAAAACTCGTTCTCTAATGTTTTCGTCAGTTTGACTACTATGTTTCGTGATGATAAAATGGTATAAGATCATTGGCCTAACTAATTTTTTTTCAGTTTGGTTCAAATATATATTTATATATTATTGTTTCAAATGTACCTCAAGCTAGTATAGATAGTGAGAAGTGGTAAAATAAATTCAAATAAAAAATTCATTTGAAAATTTTTTGAAACCAAACTTGATCTAACCCAATTGATAAAAAAAAAAAAAATGAAAGATTTAAACCGGAAACGATATGTGCTTGAAAGAATCTGAACTCGAAGAAACTTATATAAACAGATTAATTTGAAGTAGCAAGTTTTTTTATCATGAACAACTAAATCTACTACCTTGTGGGAATGGGGTAATTTCGTGGTGGATATTTAATATAGCCTTAGCTTCATACTGCTTCAGCTGTTAGTTTTATCACGTGAAAGGAGGGGCCAACTCTTTGGCTTGTAGAATAGCTATAGTAAGAGTACTGTACGGTTTGATGTGAAAAAGTTTGCTGTACGGGGACCACTGCCGGTACAATTTGGAATTATACGTTGCTTCATTATTAATTTGAATGAAGATCCTTTTCCTATCAAAGAAAAACTAGATCTCTATATGCTAATAATATATGTAGTTGATTAAAGACTTATAGTTACAGTAAATGATTCAAATTTTATTGTCATTTAATTTATTAAATAATCATACTAATTGTCACATAAATAGAATTTATACATGATAATTTAATTAATAACATCATCATTTATAAGATAAAAAAA